CGTGACCTGTACAGTGCTGCAAGCTCTAATGCAATTTACCACAACTGCTACTGTACATTGAAAGAATGGCACGACTATATATTTTCCGCATGACTAGGTGGCTAGACACCCATATTGGCGCCCAAGAATCTATTTGAAAAATATTTGGACGATCAATATACTTCAGTTTACCGTACCTCACAAAGGGAATGCTAACAGGAAAACAGCAGTTCGGCAATTTTTGCGTGTTTTATTATGCTTGGATTATTTTTCTTACACAAAAAAGCAGATTTTACATATTTGAAACAATATTATATTTAGGTTGAGATGAAAGAGAGACCACTTACAACCGCCTAAGCATTTGCTAAGTACCTCTCTCGTCTTCATGGAGAAGGTTTTGCCCCATGTGGCTGAGAGTACAAGAGTACAAACCGTGCTCAAGCTCAAATCCGAATTGTTATGTAATTGCAAACCGTTATCTTAGCTTGGCATAAAGAAACGATTTCTAAGCTGGAAAGTGAAACAATCGATCCCTCCTAATGGAGAGTCCAACGTAGATCGTGTTTAAGTAATTCAGTGGATTGAGAAACCTGTGTCGGCTACAACCGAAGACCAAAACGAAAGGCGTAAGATGGAGTACATGCTCAAAGACTTGGCCAAGGCCCGCGTAGAGCAGACGCAGAACTCGTTCAAGAGCACATCGTTCGGCTTAAGGACAATGGTCTGTATAGTGAGCTGCTTCAGAACCAACACGTGGAAGATTTAAACCGAGAGAAAACTTACTATATCAATATATCAGTTCATTTACTGCATTGAGAAAGTATGTATTCGCTCACATCTCGCGTGATGTCGTCCCGGTTGATTTTTGCCAAATGAGAATTTTGTTTTTTTGTTTTTAATCTTAACACAAGAATATCAATTTCACGAAATATTCGTGGGTTTAAATGTTAAGACGACAGCAGTTCGGAATTGTGTTAAAGCATTTATTTTGTGACGTACGGTAATTATTATTAGCTCAATATTTTATTATTTTGAAAATCTTGACGATAGAAAATTAAAAATTATATTGCATGCAGTAAATTATTATTGAAATATATTATTATTTTCCTATCCCTGCCTTTCAGCCCTAGATAAGCTTCATACAAGAGGAACTAGGAAACCCTCAATAATAAAAGAGGCCTGGTCAATCTACTACCCACGCGAGGATCCGGAGGAGCGGCAGGATGACGGAGATCGACGTGGCAGCGCTACAAGTATCCGTATGGATTCTGTACCTTCAACATCGAAGTTGCATGGATTTGTCCACATGGCTACTGTCCCCGTCGGTGCGCCGGATTTTGCAAAGCAAACGCTGGTGCCGCTTCTTGGGGTCGTCACAGCTAAATCGTTCAACTTGAAAATACTGTCCGACAATGGCCCAAGGACTTAACAAGACCACCTTACCCGTTGTGCCAAGCGGTTCGTTGCCGTGCCATAAAGACGTCCGCTTCGATCCGTTCCGGTGTCCGGTTTTTGTATTAGTCGAAGTCGCCGGTGTCTGCGCTCGGACTGGTTTTTGTTTTGTTCTCAGGTGTCCATGCCTTCAACTTGAGATTGGCAGCATGGAGTTCTTCCAGCTCCGTTGCATAGCTCATTTCCAAGTTGGCTTCAATCCCCGCAAGTCCTCGCCATGAAGCTCTCCAAGTTCGCCAAGCACGCGCTCACGTTCGCCGGTCCGTCGCCGATCCAGCATATGGAACGGCTGTCTAAGGCTCTGGGCAACAAGGTGCAGCTGTACGCCAAGCGTGAGGACTGCAACTCCGGCCTGGCCTTCGGTGGCAACAAGACGCGCAAGCTCGAGTACATCATCCCGGAGGCCATTGAGGGGGGCTACGACACGCTCGTGTCCATCGGCGGCATCCAATCGAACCAGACGCGCCAGGTGGCGGCGGTAGCCGCTCACCTCGGATTCAAGTGCGTGCTGGTGCAGGAGAACTGGGTCAACTACCCGTCGGAGGAGGCCAGCGTGTACGATAATGTGGGCAACATCGAGCTGTCACGCATCCTGGGTGCGGACGTGCGCAGGGACTCGGCCGGCTTCGATATTGGTATCCGTCCGAGCTGGGAGGAGGCCATGGAAAGCGTTAAGAAGGCCGGTGGCAAGCCGTACCCCATTCCGGCTGGCTGCTCCGAGCACCCCAAGGGCGGACTGGGCTTCGTCGACTTTGCTGAGGAGGTCCGACAGCAGGAGGAGGAGCTGGGCTTCAAGTTCGACTACGTCGTTGTGTGCGCCGTGACCGGCAGTACCATGGCCGGCATGGTGGTTGGCTTCGCGGCCGACGGACGTGCGAACAAGGTCATCGGTATCGACGCGTCCGCCGCACCCGATAAGACGCGCGAGCAGGTGTTGCGTATTGCCAAGGACACAGCGGATCTGGTGGAGCTGGGACGCGAGATCACAGCGGACGACGTTGTACTGGACACACGCTTCGGCGGTCCCGAGTACGGACTGCCCAACCAGGGCACGCTGGATGCCATCCGGCTATGCGCTCGCACCGAAGGCATTCTGACCGACCCTGTGTATGAGGGCAAGTCCATGGACGGTATGATCTCTATGGTGCGCAACGGCGAGTTCCCGGAGGGCTCCAAGGTGCTGTACGCCCACCTGGGCGGCGCGCCGGCACTGAGTGCGTACAGCTACCTGTTCAAGGAAGGTTAAGTGTTGATTGCCTTAAAGATTGCAAACCCAGACGTCGACGCCAAATGCTTCAGCTGTAGAACCATTTAGGAGGTTTGTCTTGATGCGTGGAGATATGAATACATGTACGTGTCAAACTACAAAGTTCATATAGGGATTTTCATTAAAAATGCTCAAAACTAGGCTTATTCACAAGCGTTGATCCCTTTTTACAGCTTCATGGGGAGGGCATCGCGGTGATACTTGGCGCGGAAGTAGTCGCGTACGTAGCCGAGCACGAAAAAGTATTCGTAGATGAGGACGGCGGCAGTGTCGGCAATGCCCCAGCCGAACAGTTCCCAACGGAAGCCAACCGGCAGCGGAATGTCAGGCAGACCCACGACGTTGGTGCTGCTGGCCACACGGAACTGGTCGCTGAAACGCGACGGCGGACCGACGAACATAACAACCAGCACCACAAACAGTAGCGCGTACCAGAACATCAGGAAGATGTTATGCCAGATCGGGAGACGGAAGCGCGAGCCTAGACCCATAGTGAGACCCGTGGACATTTGCTGGAAGCAGATGATAAACCACAGCGTAGAGCCCAGATTGCTGTCTTGTAGGAGCCACCACTGCACCAGGTTAACGTTGCTGGGCTGGAACGGACAGTACCAGGGCTGCGTGGTCAGATCATGGATGGCGCCGTACAGGAACAGCCAGTGGATCGCGGCCGCGCCGACCAGCGAACACACTGTCGTGGGGCCTACCAAACTCGACGTAGGACGCTGCGATCCCATTTTCTCCAGCGGACGAGCACGCGTGAGGCCATACGAGAGTCCGACCAGGATGGCACCGTCCAGATACATGAAGCCAAACTGCGAGATGAACACGCCGTTGTAGTACATGACGGTACGGCAGCCGATACCGATGAGACCGTACAGGATCAGGTACTTGACACTCGCGAACGACGTCGCCAGAGCGCCACGGCCTTCAAGCACCAGGTCTACAACTGACTTGAGCGTACGCGACTTGCTCGTGAACGGAGACACCACTGAAGCCTCCGCGTCGCTGAGCGCAACACCCACGTGCGCGATACGCAACGCACCGCAATCGTTTCCACCGTCACCGCACATGCCCGTCACGGATCCTGTGGCCATGTGCAGCTTGACGCAGTCCACCTTCCCTTGAGGCGTCATGCGGCTGAAGATGCGGACCTTAAGCAAAATCTTGTTGATGTCTCCCATCTTGACCAGGAAATCGAAAGCCTTACCGGTCACGGCCAACTCCACCTTCGTATCTACCGCCTCGACCATGTCGCGAATGTCATCGAACGAGAATACCTGCTGCGTCTCCACGTCCTTCCACAAGAGCATGAAGCCGATCTTCTCGTCGGCCACCATGTCACCAAGAATCATCTGAGAATCCTCGTCCACCATGCCACTGGCACGGGCGATGTAGCAACCGGTCATGGCGTTGTCTCCCGTGATCATCACCGGACGGATATCGCCCTGTTTCAGCGTCAAAATGGCGTCGCGTGAGTCGTCCTTAATCTCATTACGGAACATGATCAAGCCAAGAAGCGCCAAAGACGCCTCAACAGCGTCACGGTCGCCCAAGAATGCCGCGAGATCCGTTTCACTCATCGCTGACATCTCCTTGTACGCCATACCCAACACGTAGCATCCGTTCTTGGCCAGGTTCTCAGCCGTCTCAAAGTAGTTGGCAGGGATCGAGTCCTTACTGGACACCGACGCCATCTTCTCATATGAGCCCTTACAGAAGATAATGAGCTTGCCCGTGCTCTTCTGCTTCATCACGACGCTCATGGACATGCGGTGGTGGTCGAATTCGAAACGTTTGACGAACTCCAGCTCCTTGGAGCCGTCCGCCGCCTGTACGACAGGCAATTGACCCTCCAGCTCGATCAGTTTCCATTGCGTACTCTTGAACATCTTCACTTCCACTTCATTACCAACCAGTTCGCCGTTCAGCGAGCCCACGGCGTGACACGATGCGAGCGAGAACTTCATCATCTGGTTCAACGAAGCATCCGTCATGTCATTAAACTCTGGCTGGAACTCTCCCGAGTCCCCGATGGGAACGCATCCACGGTAATCCAGACCTTCCTTCGTAATCGTACCGGTCTTGTCGAAGCAGAACACGCGCACCTTGCCACACAGAGTGATACGCTGAGGGTTGAGACAGAAGACGTCCTTCTTTTGAAGACGCTTAGCGGCGTTCACTTGGCCGATCGTCATCACGACAGGTAGCAACGGGTTGAGCACGGCACTGAACATGAACATGCCGTACACGAAGGCGAACAACGTGTTGCTGAGACCGGCGTTCTCGATCAAGAACTTCATCGCGAAGTAAGCAGCAATCAAACCAATCACGAACAGAACGGAGAAGACAGCCTTCAGGTGCTCGTCGTACTTGAATCGGATCGGAGCCGGGTACAGAATAGCCTGTACGAGTTGTCCACGGCTGGTGTGGGCGCCGGTAGCCTGTACGATGGCGAGAATCTCCTCGTCACGGCCTGAAGCCAGCGTTCTAGTGCCGGAGAAGAGCGTGTACTTCTTGCCGTTACCTTCAGCATCGTACACGTCGCTGCTGTCATTTGGAAGCGGGAACTTCTGCACCGGCATGGACTCACCGGTCAGCATTGATTCGTCGCAAACGGTCGAGCCTTTAACGATCACGAGGTCACACGGTAGCTCCCAGTTCTCCGCCACGCGCACGAGATCACCCGGCGCTAGGTCCGAAGACTTGATCGTCGCCCACTCGCCGTCCCGCTTGACGGTCACCTCCGCCACGTAGTGGGTCATCTGCACCACAGACCCCAGCATGCTGCGCTTGGCGTAGATGTTGAACGCTGCGGCCAGCACGATCACCACAGTATTGAGCACCGACACCCACACGTAGTCTGTAAAGTACCAGACGTAGTAGCACATGAGCTGATAGATGTAGAAGAACGAGAAGAACTCGTCGACAATCGACGTCGCCCAGGACGGCATCTCCACTTCGATGGCATTGCGGCCCACAATGTCCAGACGGCGCGCGTGCTCGTCACTGGTTAGTCCCTGTGAGTCCGACAGGATCTTGTCGTACGTGTCCGGCAGCACAATGGAGCCAGGGATGAACTTGCCTTCAACATCGTCGAACGAGTAGCGCAGGTGCTGGAACTCCAGATAACGCGCGCCTTCGGCCGTCGTGTGCACGGTCACGGTCTCCTCCACGCCCTGGCGCGAGTGCGGGAACAGGAAGCTCTCAATCTTGAGTACCATTTGAGCGACGCCCGACCGGTCCACCAGCATCGTCTCCGTCACTTCAGGTTTGTACATGAGCACGCGCGTGCACTTGTCCAGAGCCGTCGGGTAGCGGAAGAAGTTGAGGATCTTAAAGCGGTACACGACCACCACGACGAACCAGACGGTGGCGATGACCCAGAGCGAGATAAAAACCTTGATAACCACCGTAGTGGGGTTGAACCAGGCCGCGTACTTGTCCGTCGCGAGTTTTCCCTGGTTGTCCCGGATCGTGAGGATAATCGGGATGTTGAGCAGCACCGTCATGAGCACGAAGTAGCCGAACACGACGTAGCCGACCACCGAGTCTGTGTATCCCGTCTGCACAATGTCCTCGGTGCTGTTGCGCAGCTGCACCTCGGACGGACGATCGGCCAGTGACGGACGGGTGGCCGACGTCTTGAAACCGGGTGTCTCGGGTCCTCCACGGTGGTCAAGCAGCTTCTTATCGCCGTCCGCAATGGACGTCAGCGGAGCTGCGGCATCCGACGACTGGCGCACGCCGAGTGCCGTACGCAGCCCAGCCCAGCACGCCAGACTGATGAAGCAGACGGCATAGATGACGTACACGACTACGAGGGGAGTCTCTGTGAACGAGTTAAAGCGGTAAACCGACGGGCTGGACGCAGACGTACACAGACTCTGCGCCGTCGTGTTGACCGTGCCGTCGTCCAGCATGATGCTCCGGCACACGGCACCAATAGGCAGCGACGCGTTGTTATTGCGCGGATTCGGCGTGGACGACCAGAAGACCGACGTGTCCGTCGAGTCCTCGGCCAGCGATGTGTTCTGCGTGTAGATATCATCACTGTCAGCAGCAAAAGTGCACTGCAGAGTACTCATGACGGTGCCGTTCACTGCGACGTCGTGCAGACGGCAGGTCTTGTCGGCCTCGCCGTACACGTAGCTGGGCGTGCTTGGAGCATAGAGCGACACGTCCCCGTCGGGGTCGTAATTGATCTGGCGGCTCTTTTGCCAGCCTTCGTCGTAGTAACTAGAGAAGCCGTCGCCCTGCGGTTTGTTGTAGCGGACGTACACTAGGCCGTTGGAGACGTCCGAACCCTCGGGAGTGCCCAGATCGCAGCAGTAATACTGGGGCGAATGGTTGATGGCACAGGCCGGGTAGTCCAGTTGGGACGCCGTGCCTGAGACCAGCGCGACGGGAAGCGACACCACTGCCAGCGCCAACGTCGCCCTCATCATAGCCGATGGACTTAGGCTCGAGTCGACGGATTGAGGAATGGCGAGAAAGGCGGCGCCGGCAGTGAGTGGCAGTGGAGACCGATTGCTTGACCTTCAAGCGAGCTCGCGTGAATCGGCTTTGTCCGTTCGATTACAGAAACGAGTGATTTGTCTTGCAAACAGAAACGAGTGCAACGGGGTTCCTGGACCAGAGGAGAGCATCTCCGCTGCCGCCCGCTGTATTCATACCCGCAGATCGCTCGATCACGAGGTTTCCGTGCATTAACTCTACAGAGACTTTGATGGCAATGAGCGACTAATATTGAAACGGAGACTTTGAAAAAAAAAGTCTCTGATGTGATATCCAGCAAAAACACGCTTGGAGCACGTGAAATATCCCTTGCTTTGCACGAGCTTCGTCGACAGGACGCGACAGTGGTGTACGGTTCCAAAAGATAGAGAGTTGCTGCCCGCTCCAACCAGCCATTTCGCAACTTAGAACTTTTGCAAAGTTGCGCTGATATTCTCGTAACGTACGCTTCAACGATGGCATTGGCTTGCACAGCAAAATCTTCACGACCGACACGTCTTGCCGCGTCAGCTCTGTAAGTGCCCAATCACCCGTTGCTGCCAGAAAATCGGTGGATGTGGACCTCCGCAGCAGCTTTACCGTCGCCGCCATGTTGCTGTTCAGCACTGCGTGACACCCAGCACATTTTAACACCCGTACCAGCGAAATGGTCAAAAGGTTGTCGTACATGTATCTGGAAAACTCGATCCAGAGTTGAAGTGGATTCGCATTCAGCTTTAGTAAACCTCATTCGACGTTGTTCAACACGTATTGTGTCTGCAAATGATCGCCAGGGGCTCCGACAGTAGCATTGTCAACATCACAATATCCGAAAATAACAGCAAGTTATTTATTTCGGCTGAAATGCCCCATCCAACAGATTATTTATTTCAGGAAAAAGGAGAATATTCATTGTTTATGGAAAGAAACCTACAATTATTTTTTTT